AAGACAGGAAACTCTTTGTTTAATAATGTGTTTTGTCAGCCATCATTACAGGAGCAATCGGCCCAGGCAGATTTTTTTATTGCAATTCTGGAAGTGTAGGTAACTGTTAAACCAAAGTTCAGGTTCACTGGTAGCTTAAAGTGCTAGTGCGCTACACGTCAATCCACCCACTTTCCTCTAAATCACACCTAGAAAAAAAGACATACAAGAATGACTGGATAATAAAGCATTTATTTACAGGAAGAGTAGCAGAGAGCTCAAAGACGAGAAAGCAGATATCCTGTCAGAGAAATCTGGGACATGTTTATGCTGAATTACAGAAAACAAACCAGGAGCTCTTTAAATAAAGATTAGAAACCAAACACCAATAACCTCATGCAACAAGAATGAAGTGGGTTGAAATGAGGGTACTTGTTAAAATAATCTTTATTATAAAGCATATTAAACAAATCATCTGTGTGAGTTCATATACAGGGGGTCCTCGGGTTACGACGTTTCGACTTACGACGTTTCGAGTTTACGACACTCACTTACGCCGTTAGCGTCATACTTACAGACTACTGTACATGGGTGAACTAGTTTGGGTGCACGCGGCGGAAGAATACGCAGTAACACGGCGTATGAGTGAGGAAAGCCATCACGAGAGAAGTGAAATTAGACATTGTAAAGAGATCTGAAAAAGGGTGTGTTTTGACTTAACCCAAAATTCGTGTTATGTCACTGTCGCACAAACAGAACCGTGTCCTGACCCGTGGGCCCCCTGTCGTTACAATTTATCATGCCCTTACTTCAGAATGGAAGCCGCAATTTGCTCCTTCATTTATGTTTGTGACCATTTAAATCAGACTCCCTTCCGTACCATAAATTTTGTACCAGAAAATCCAGATTTTAGTAACATTTTAAGATGTTATGTGACAACGGATGGTGAGCATTAGTTAATCCAATGCTGCTAATACTTAATCCAGTTCACATGCTTCATTACCTATATTTTAATTGAAGCTGCTATCAAGTTTCAGCAGATGAAGTAAGTATGTCCACCACTTATTCCATAATAATCAATTTATGTCATTCGATGCTCTTATGCATATGGGGTGGGGAGAGATCAATTTCTTCAATATCAACAGCTCAAATTAAGAATTAAAGAAAAAGTCGTAAGGATGGAATGGGGATGAATGGCATTTTTAATTGACAAAATTAATAAAAACAGAAATAGGTGGGAAACAATAACAGTCTGGTGTCCAAAGGCTAGGGGAATTCTTTTAAAATTTAGCGTCTCCTCGGATAATAAGGGTGTTTCTTAATACCAAGAATACCTGTGGTCTTGACGAGATCCATCTTGCAAACATTCCTTCTAAGAAAGAACTTGGGGTGCAATGAATTATGGAATTGGTCTTTTATGGCAAGGATGCGACTGATGTATCCTTGACATTTGTGGAGAGGCAAGAGCAACATACAAGGATTTTTACTGTCCTCTGTACTTCTGTTGTTAGGGTTGGGGGCCAAATTCTGAATTCAGTGGTTGCACCATTGTAAGGTTGCGTTCAAAGGCTGACTATGCCACAGCAGACTGACACAAGCTCCTTCAAATGTCTAGAAATGAAACCTACAATCTTTCAATTACAAGTGCGCTACCCTAACCATTAAGCCACCACTGCCCAATGCAACTTAATCCAATCTCCGAGCAACTTCTTCCTGTGTATTTGTTTCAGCTCCGATCCGCCCGACTTTTCCTGCTCCCTCCTGAACCCTCCTGCCCCCGTCCATCCCAGCCCTGGTCCTCCCTCGTGGCTGCTCCCCGTGTGTCATCGGAAACTCCTGGCACCTCGACTCATCTGCACCCAGCTCCACTACACTTTCAGTTTCCCCTCTGGAGCTGGACACTTGGCTCGGACTGATGTTTGTTTTTGACTCCCCTTGTTATTTGGACTCTGTCTTGTTTATCCCCAATAAAGGCCTTTTGGACCTTTCCCGAGTGTTCTGGTATTGCAGCTGCACAAGGCGTACTGTGTATTTTCAGTCTCATAAACATTTTCACCCAGAGCTTCTTACCAGTGCAAGATGAAATTAAGGAAGAAAAAAACAGCACATATTTTTAAGGGGAGGAAAGGGAAGGTCAACAGCAAAATAAAATGAAAGAGAACTGTGTTGATGAAAACTGAAAAGAACGTTCACAGTGTGGTCGATATGGCCACAACTAGGCACGTTTATTTACAAACAGGTTACACAGGTGTTCAGAAAATTGCCTATGAAACCATCGTGGGCAGATGATAACTGCTGGAAACTGACTGAAGTCTTGCAGCACGTTGCATCATTTTCCTTCCAGCCCATGTTACGAAATCAGCCATCTGGGAATCTCTAGGGAGATGACGACCGGAATTAGACAAAGGCACCGCTTAAGAGTTTTGGGAGGTTCCTTAAAACAAACGTCTCATTCAGTAAATAAAAGACAGACATAATTTGAACACACACTGCAGACCATTATTCCATAAAGCTTTTGATCTGTATGAATACTCAGCTGGAATTCAGTTGTAGAATGCATATGCGAAGAAAGATAAATTCTGTGTGTGCGCTATGCATTTAAAGCCTTTGATCTTGCGCTTCTTTTATGTTTCTGGAATTTTGCTCATGATTCTAAACGGATGCACAAAACATTAAATGTAACTCCCAAACAGTAAATACACTGACCGTCTCTACCCCAATAAAAAAGTCTTCATGCTGTGAAAAGGCAATGCAAATATCACCTCCCGTCACTGTCTTTCCAAGCAAGTGATGTACCAACCTCTGTGTGTTTTCTTTCCGCTGTTTAATGTGTAAAATGTGTGAGAACACCAAGCAAACCAGCTGACAACACTTACTAGATGAACAAGCAGACACATTCAAAACAGAAATGCCATTTATAAATTTTATTGCATTCAAACAATAGTTACAATAATTGCACGTATATTTGTCATAGTTGTGACTGACTGTACTTAAATTTCACAAAACTCCAGAAAACATTGGTAAGGAGAGAAACATCCATGTAAAGACCAAAAGCTTTAAAACTGTTAGTAAAAGAAGCTTATCCAATATAGCATGAAACATCTGTAAACAATAAATGTTCTTTGAAACATGTAACTACTTGCTTTTGCAATTTTAAAATAATATTTAGGAGTGTGTGCTATAGTACTCCCACCCATACCCCGTAATGTAAAACAATCACATTTCTGGCAAGCTTATACATACTGTGTTATGTGAATATATATTTTTTAGCTTTAGGTGTAGTTTATTATTGCTAACATGTTGTATCTTGTCTAACTACTAAGCTTATGGTTTTATTCAAAGTGGCTGTTTTACCCATTAAAATAGCTGGATATTTTTCGGACTGAGCCCCTTGCTCGAAGGCAGAACAGGGTTACTCCTGGTATTGTCATCCATAAAGTTAGGCAAAGATGGTTAAATTAATAGGTTGTTTCTCTACCTGATAAATTTCAAGCATTTGGAGTGCTTCTTGGATAAAGCACAGGACTGGCTATTCACCGAGCACTAAAGTGCACGTCAACTTGTTCCCACATTTGCTCTGAAGCCCCTGAGGTTTGTCATGGCTCAAGAACAGCACCGACTAACAATGAGGATTAACATAGTATAAATTTGGTCACAAAGCAGGCCTGGCTCCCAAAATGATTTGGTCTGCTTCCTTCCTATTTTTTTAAATAACTCCCTGATTGGCTGGCATATGCTTTTCCAGGCTCATGATCAGTGTTGGGCAGTAATGTTTTGGGCAGTGTAAGGGATTACAATTTCTAAAACAGTAATAATATTACAGTTACAGTTTGTTGTACGTAGTATGAAATGCATGGGTGGCAGATCTGGTCAGTGCTACCTAAAAAGCTTAGTAATAATGGAGGATGAAGGAGAGTGGAATAGCTTCAAAAAGTGTAAGTATTGTAATTTTTTTTTGAGACCCTGTCATTCAAAGATGCAAAGGACTGTTGCCGTTCGTTGTAGACTTTGTCCCGGCAGCAAAACTCTTTCAACTACGAAAAAATACAATGTCAAATTTATTAGAGCATCTGATACAGCACCGCTATATGTTTATAGTTTTTCATACAGGCTCTAGTGTTTGTGGTTATGCAGTTTGATTTTTGAGTCCTTCTGTACAATGGTAATTGTTCCAATAAAAAAATTGTTCAAAAAAAAAAATCTAGTTGTATTACCCTGTCATAGAGGGTTGGGCATCCAAAGAAGTATAGTAATATAATGAGTAATGTAACTAATTACTTTTTTTTTATACTAAGTAATAAGTAAAGTAATATTATTATTCTTAAAACGGGTAATAAGTAAAAAGTAACTTATTGCTCTTCCTGAGTAACTTGCCCAACAGTGCTCATGATTGGGAAGGCCAGGCCTGAGGCATCTGGGACTGATGGAGCAGCTCATTCTATCCTTTCAAAGTGCAAAGAGATGCAACATACATCAATAATTTATAAATGGCACAAATTACCTAGTTATTAAACTGATTATTTTATATCAAAATATATTACCTTCTTTAACAGTAAGAGGTCACTTGGGATGACATTATTAAACAAACCAATTTAAATTTAAATGAAAAGCACCACATTTGGATAGTTCCAGTACGGAAAAAGACAGTTGATGGTTGTTTACAAAAATATCCATATCCAGTTATTATTTTTGCAGTCACAGATTCAGTGATTAATCATATGGTTTTAACCTCATGAGAAGTATAAAAGACTAAATAACAATGAAACAGGCCATGCAGAAACCCAGGATTGGATATATGGTAGATGAATGTCCTAGGTTATTAAGGTCGGAATGAAAATGCCCTTTTTCTTATACCAGAATTACTCGAAAGCAGAAATAACAGCACCGAGTAAGGAATTCTGGTGGATCTGACTGTCAACAAACAAGGTTATATTTTTTCCAGTACCGCACCACAGGTACTCTCTGCCTTGGTCCAGTGGAGGGCAGCTGCAGTGGTCCACCACAGCCGTCAAAGGTTTGTTTGCAGGTTTTATGTTATATCTATGTTTGAGATTCCGTTTAATTGAGGAAATGCTCGTCATCTCAATATGGCGCTGTGAGCCGTCCTGCCATGTGATTTTCAGTGTGCCAATGTAGATGGATGAATTGCATAATCTAAGGGATGCTGAAGAGAGAGAGACAAATTTAATGCTACTGTTTCATTTCAGTTACTTGTAGTCTGCTGTGCTGTAGCGCTAAGCTACTAAACTGTGCTAATTTTCATTCAACCCCCAGCCTTTGAAAAGCTGAGGTCACCTGGTGTTCTTGGTGCACATTATTCACCGTCTGAAAGGAAGGAAAACATCCGCAGGATTTCAAATTTCAGTGGTTCACACCACTGTTACCAAACTGTTGGTAGTTTTATCGACAAATTTTATCATTAGCATTCTGTGAGCTAAACTCCAAAATGTTTGACAACCACTGCCCTGCACCAAATGTAGAATCTAACTTCACTTTTGTTGCACTTATGTCATGGTCAGTCAGAAGGCGATCCGGGAAGCAGGGAAACGGAGTCAGGAAGTAGGACAAAACGGGGATTTATTACGGGAAGCAGGACCGGGGAATCATGACAACAAACATTAATGACAAGTCTAGGGAAGACTGACTCAGACAAGGACTAAATACAACAGACAAGCTACGGGTAACGAGCCACAGGTGAGAACAATCAGGGAGAAACAGGAGGTAATGAGGTGGGCGTGGCACACATTAGGAGCAGATGGAGCGGGGCGTGACAACTTACATCATGACATATAATATTGCATCAGGTTAATTCTGGTTTTATTTGCATATGGTATACAGGTTTTAAGCGAAAGCCAAAAGCTAGCACAAAACAGAAAATTAATAAAAAATAATAAAGTAATATACTTTGGGTACGTGCAACAGTTGTTGTTAAGAATTAACTGTTACTATATCTATAGCCTTCCTTATAAATGCATAAAAAGGATGTTGTTCCAAATCAGTAAACTGAGTGACTCATCAAAAAATCACCTGCAATTTATTTGTTAATTATACCAAACAAACTATTTGTTTGACTGAAACATATAATAGTTGAGGTCTTTTAAGTAACTTCTTTGGCTTTATTTTACGATAAACAACTACACGTAGCTACATTTAATAAAAGCGGTTAAGAAACCATTTTAAATAGTACTAATGATAGTTACCTGAAACGCTGCCAACATCAGGGTGAACACTGCATCGCCCAATATCCCCTGAAGGAATGTAAAGAGATAATCAATCTACAGTAGCTACCTACTCAGCTCTCACACGTAAGCATACGTCAGGTTTCTCATGGTAACAATTATTGTAGGCAATGTGTAAGAGTCAGACAACCTTCCAAAATATAATGATTCATTTCATGCTATAAATTATTCTTAGCATCCTCCGTGAGAAAATACTATTAAATGATGTGAGCAGTCAATCATTTTGTCATCAGTTATCTCTTGCGTAGTATGCGGGACAGCTGCATGTTGTGGCGAGGTAAAATAGATACATAAATGAAGTTCAGCCGTGACATTTCCCAGCTCACAGGGTGGGGAAACAATTTTGGAATTAAACAAAAGTACAGCAGTCCATCTCTTACATTTCACTCACTAGCAGGGACTGTTACAGTAGTACTCTGACTGTGGGTTGCCAAATATCTGGTAGGAGTTGAAAGCTTATTTTCTGAATTTTTCTTTCTAATCTGTCCACCTTCCAAATGCTTATCATAAGCAGTCAGCACAGGCTGAAAGGCCCCTTTGTTATATCAATAGGTCATTGTTGTATCAATAGGTTCGTTTTTCTTTCCTTTCCTTTTATTTTTTTTTAGCAGACCTGAATAGCTGCACTTGTAATCTATGCTTTGTTCCACACACCATTTGCTCCCACAGTTACTGACATGCATCTCCAAAGCATGATTCTGCTACCGTCATACTTTTGGTCACAGGTGGCTGCTCTCATAACACGTTGCGGATAGGGAGGGTGATTAAGAGGATTCTAAGCACCGCTGAGTGACAGGGGCCCCAAAAAATATAGAACATAATTGGATTGGTCTGGGTTGAGGGCTCAATATTATATGCTTTAATGGAGGCAAAAATCTCTAACGGAACCCCTGTCTTTCTGTAAGGAATGTCTGGCCTTTCTAATTGTTATGATAAAAAGATTATGCATTAATTTTTTATAAATACTATATTATTTGTTACTTACTGCTCATTGTTGGTCTTCATAACTGTTATTTTATGCACCGACAGTCAGACATGCACTAAGTTCATGCTCAAAAATGCAAAACAAGATCCTCCTCCTAACAGGAAATCATCTCACTATGACTGAATATCTACAGTTTTGCAGATGAATTCATGAGATTCAGTAACTATGCAGCTAAGAGGCATGGACTGAATGATATTGAAGGCGGCGTGATTGTCGGCGCCGCACGTGCCGCTCCTAGTCTCCATGTCTAGAGTTTACAAGGTGTGACAAACAACAAGAACATCAAGTCAGAGGCGGCTCTGTTACAGAAATCCCCTTGTTAACAGGAAAGTTTGAAGAAGAATGGCCAGACTTATTTAAGCTAAAGGGAAGGTCAAAAGTGCAATGCTTCAGTACAGCAGTGGCTCGCAGAAGGGCGTCTCTAAAACTTGGCAACCTTTAAAGTACTGCGTTTGGACCTCACATGTCATGCATGCAGAGGCACTAAAAGAAAATACCGAGACGACTAGACGCCCCGATGGCTGTTGGGTTCATCTGCCAAGAGAAAATATTGTCAAAGGAAGAATGGAAAATAGTAGAGTGGAAACTGAATACACAGGAAATTTCAGGGAATACAAACCAGACAGTTTATTTGGGGCAGCGGACAAGACCTCGCGGTGCAGACATTCCAGACCCTAGTCTCAGATGGATCCGTGACATGCCAGACCTGCTGCTAAAACTCCAGAAATCCCAGAGCAGAGCCGCTAACCTGCAGCAGAGCTGAGGCTGTGGTGCTGTCTCCTCTGCAGGTTCTCCTCACAGCAGGAGTAGAGGGAAGTGTTGTAGAACTGGTGGCCGCAACAGGAGAAACCGGGCTGCTTGGTGTAAACCAGCTGCAGCTGGGGAGAGGAGCAGCACTGCTGTGTGGTCGGGTCCTCCACCAGCAGCATCCCACAGCACTGCACCGTACTGTTCTCCGTCTTGTAGATCTGCCCAGAGCAGCACTTCTGGTTGGGATCTGAGGCATTGTAGACGTGAGCTCCGCAGCATTCCAATTCTCCTGACCTTGACCTTCTACAAAAAAAACATAATGGAGTCTGGTAAAAATGCAAAAATAATATTTCATATTTGGAAAATGAGAAGATTTCCTCTCACGTTGAAGTAGAAGGACCAGGAATTCCCCTCAAATGAAATCCATGTGGTTTTCCCATCTGAAATCTCTCACACTCACCACTCCTGTTTACTAGGAATCTGAATTTTGTCCTTATTTTCACACAACTTTACCATTCCAGCACGTGAAATAGGCAGTATTTTTGGTGGAAATTTGAACAAAATAGGGAGGGAATTCTTACAAAATTTGTCCCGGGTTCAGGAACTCGAGCCAGTGACCTTTCAGTTGGGTCCTTACACACTGATTCACACACCGCTTCTCACACACTGTCAGAAAAAAGGGTACCAACATCTTTGTACCACTGAGGAGTCCATTTCTGTACCTTAAGGGTACAGCCCCAGTGACAAGCAAAGGTACAAATTGCTACCCTTTTTTTCTGAGACTGCATAAGCACATGAAGATTCCCAAAAAATATACATAAAAGAATAATGAGGAAAAGGCAGCACCTGTGTCCTTTGCAGCACATCTCCGTTCTGGGGTCAAACAGCTCCCGTCCACAACATTGTCCATGAGGTTGGGGGTGCGTGGTGGATTCACAGACCGTCACCTTGCTGCTGTCATAGACACTGACCCCGTGGCACCGGCTGCCCTCGGTCACGTTGCGGTGCAGCTTCCCGTTGCAGCACAGCATGCCAGCCAACAGAAACTGCAGCAAACATACAGCTATGATGTGAAATAAGTGGCAGAATCACTTTGCCTATGAAGAAGGAGCATGCGGTATGTGCCGACTGGGAAGCCCTGCCCTGTGAGAAAGGGATTCAGAGAACAGCAGCAGCGATACTCTGTAGCACTGTGTTACGCATTTGTGAAAAGGAGGGACTGTACATGCGCAGTGTTAAGATGAAGCAGTGACTCCCTGCCAGTCCAGCAGGGCAGGGTCAAGATATATACCTATAGCACACCTGATGTACAATTCACACAATGCCTCATTTTATCTGGCAGGAATATAGTCAGGATCTAGTTTTCTCTAATAACCAGGATAGGATTAGAAAATTAGAGGTTTTAGAACCATTGGTGGCTAAGGATGACAAGAAAAGTTTCTTCCAATATTTTAACTCCAAAAGAGCTCTAAAAGCTGATATCACTAATTTTCATGATACTAAGGGCCTTATAATTGAAAATAAAATTGATGTAGTAAATGAGCTAAATGATTATTTTACATGGGTGTTCACAGTAGAGAACATGAGTAACTTACCACCATTTAGTACGAATACAGTGTCATCTATTACCAATATATGTATAACTGAGGCTGATGTGGTACTAAGCCTAGCTAAGCTCAAAATAAATAAATCGCAGGGCACTGATGGCATCTTACCTATAGTTTTAAAAGAGATGAGGGACATTATTAGCCAACCATTAACTTTAATATTCCAGAAATCGTTATCTGCGGGTGTGGTATCTTCTGATTGGAAGCATGCTAATATAACACCCATATTCAAAAAAGGGGATAGAAGTAATCCAGCAAACTATAGGCCAATCAGTTTAACTAGCATTACTAGAAAAATAATGGAAACTATTATCCAAGTGAAAATGGTAGATTACCTGGATGCAAATAACATTCTGAGGGATAGCCAACATGGATTTAGGAGAGGTAGAGCCTGTTTAACGAATCTACTTGAGTTCTTTGAGGAAGCTACAAGTGAAATTGATCGCAAAAAGGCCTACGATGTGATCTACTTAGATTTCCAGAAGGCCTTTGATGTTGTCCCCCACCAACGGCTCTTGCTTAAGCTCAAAGCTGCAGGGATTTTAGGAACTGTAGCAGCTTGGATCGAAAACTGGTTAACATACAGGAAGCAGCGAGTAGTTATGAGAGGCACAATGTCACAGTGGGCCTGCGTTCATAGTGGGGTACCGCAGGGTTCAATTTTAGGACCACTATTGTTCCTAATTTACATTAATGATATTGACACCAATACATACGGTAAACTGGTTAAATTTGCAGACGACTCCAAGGTGGGTGGTGGTGCAGATACTGATCTAGCAACAGAGGGGCTACAACGGGATCTGGATTTAATTAGCGACTGGGCTGATACCTGGCAGATGAAATTTAACATAGATAAATGTAATGTAATACATGCAGGGAGCAGAAATATAAAGTACAGATATTTTTATGGGTTCTACTGAAATAAAGGTAGCTGATTATGAGAAAGATCTCGGTGTGTATGTTGATGCTTCCATGTCCCACTCTCGCCAGTGTGGGGAAGCAATAAAAAAGGCCAGTAGAATGTTGGGTTACATCTCTAGGTGTGTGGAGTTTAAGTCAAGGGAGGTGATGCTACAATTATATAATTCCTTGGTAAGACCCCAACTAGAATATTGTGTGCAGGTTTGGTCGGCATATCTTAAGAAGGACATTGTTGCCTTGGAAAAGGTGCAACATAGGGCTATGAGAATGATTCCAGGTCTTAGAGGAATGTCTTATGAGGAGAGGTTAGCTGAGCTGAATCTGTTCAGCCTCGAGCAAAGGAGACTAAGGGGGGATATGATTCAGGTCTATAAGATTCTAATAGGTCTGGATGCTGTTCAGCCAAATGGCTATTTCAATATTAGTTTAAATACTAGAAATTGTGGCCATAAGTGGAAATTAGTGGGAGAACATTTTAAAACGAATTTGAGGAAGCACTTCTTTACACAGCGTGTAGTTAGAGTGTGGAATAGTCTTCCTGCTAGTGTAGCGGAAGCTAAAACCCTGGGTTCCTTTAAATCAGAGCCAGGTAAGATTTGAACAACTATGAGCTATTAGTTAAGTTCTCCCCAAACAAGATAGATGGGCTGAATGGCCTCCTCTCGTTTGTAAATTTCTTATGTTCTTAGTCCAGTAACAGGAAAACAGCTACCTTGCCACCCACATTTGAGAAGTCTGCTCACAGTTGCTACCACTGTCTTCTCACGCAGGCTGAAGAAGTCACCTAAGGACCTCAGGTGTCCAACTCAACTGCCTGAATATCCTGGCGTGAAGAAGATTATAAGATGGGCTAGCAGGGGCCTAACTGGAAATTCTGAGATCCCTGACAAAATGTCATAATGTGACCCCCTTACATTATGGAATTTAATGTATTCATGGTCCACTGTAAGGTGCTGGGTCCCCTGAATCTGCCAGGGTATCCCTGCCTCTCATGCACCCCCATGGGTCACAATGCGTAAATACAATGGCTCACACAGATACTGACCTTTATACTTACCTTGGCTTAAATATAAAGCAATCAACGCACAGGGAAAAAGAATACAGGGTAAACACACAGAAGAAACAGAGCCCATTCCCATTCCTTGTGGCAGACCTACTGACTAACAAAGTAATGCTCTTTCAGTAATAGGATGGAATGAAAAAAAGAGTCAGAGACGACATAACAATTACATCACTTGACAGAGATGATGCAATGGGGATTCCCTACTCAAAATCGGGTCAAAGTGTTTATGTGAAAGGGAGCGTGATTGCAAATCAAAACATGTTGTTTTCATTTTTAATTTTTTTTTGGGTGGGGGGAGGACGTCATTGTTCCCCATGAATTAAAAAATGCATTTTAAGTACAAACTAATTCAGCCAAGAACATAGACTCTTACCCATTAAAATAATCCATTTGCTTCCACTTTTCTCCCCTTCCTTTTACATATTTATACAGGAAACTAGCATGAGCTAACATCCTACTGTGTTTTATCAGCTGGAGGGCTGCTGGGCAGGACAATGTAAAATCGCTGTCAGGTAACTGCTGACTCTCAGCAATTCGGAAAGGTTATGTGGCAGCTGCATTATATGTCATTATGGAATCTCCAGCTCTTTAACAGAGTTTTAACAAACTTAGCTACTCACACAAGCCAGCTGAGAAGTCTACTTTGCAAAATGACAGAGCGGAATTCGAACAGTAATCGGCAAAATCAATTTGAATAAAAAATGGAATCATACAAGCTCTTGTTTTAAAGTACTTGAATAAAAATAGACAAACAAGAATCTCTACCTCTAACTTAAAGAACTAGAGAACGGTTGAAGAGAATGGATTCATAATGCAAATTTACTCAAATGAATGTGAATTTTGCTAGCATTCAATGCTAACATATTGCGGTGATTCTCATAGACACGGTAGTGGAAATTAGCACGTAGTAACTCATGATGCACACTGCATGTATGTTTTGTCAAACTGCTGATGGATGGGTAGCCTCTCATCAGGCGCATAAAATCTCAACAGGCACATAAAGACAATAACAAAATCAGCCTACTACCACCTCAAAACATAGCAAGAATTAAAGGATTTCTGTTTAAACAAGATACAGAAGAGCTTGTTCATCCATTTATTTGTAGCAAGCTAGACTATTGTAACAGTGTCTTTGCACGTCTTGGCAGCTACAGTTCATCCAGAACGCTGCTACCAGAGTCCTCACCCACACCAAGAAAGCAGAGCATATCTCACTGCTCCTTAAATCACTGCAAGAAAGCAGAGCATATCTCACTGCTCCTTAAATCACTGCAAGAAAGCAGAGCATATCTCACTGCTCCTTAAATCACTGCAAGAAAGCAG